TGTAAATGGTGAAATTGACAAATATATTTATCTGGGTTAGCAGCTGAACATATACAAATCATCCAGAGGGGAATCCAATCGGAGACAAAAGGTTGAGTGGAAAAATTTCAACAAAATAAAGATGTTTCTAACAGATAAACTGCCCATGAAGAAAAGGAAAGAACTGTTTCCACTGTTTTGCCAGCAATGCTATACAGAGCAGAATACTGGTCAACGATGAGGATGGAGGACGAAAAATTCACTGACACCCAGAAAGTAATGGAAAGGATAATGTGTAAGATATAGCTCCATGATTAAATACCAAATGAAGAGATCAGATGGCGCAAAAAAGTGACTGATGTAGTGCAGGTGATGTATGATGCAAAGTAGAGATAAGCGGGTCAAGTAATCCACAAGCAAGACAACAGATGGCCAACCCGCATTAATTCTGGATCCCCAGAGACCACAAAATATTTCTGGGCAGACGAAAATGCACTAGATAAATCCCATGACAAAACTCTTTGGGAAGAAATGGCAAGAATCTGCTTATAACAAAATGGAATACAGTGGCATCGACTTGCATATGTGGATGGACATAGGAGGACAACCCAGGCAAAAGTGACAAAGTCTTCCCCTCTTAAAAGGCACAGAAAACATTTTCCATTATTGAAAATCCCAAGGGGCAAAAGTGACAAAGTCTTCCCCTCTTAAAAGGCAATAGAAAACATTTTCCATTAGTTGAAAATCCCAAGGATCCTTCATGAGTACTCAACACACATAACAGATGTGATATAGAAGACAAAAAAAAAAAAATGCACGGAAACTCTAACAAGGTCTGCATCAGAAAATTAGATCCCAATTGCTTGGTTAACCAAAGAACACTCAGAGCTGCTAACCAGAATCGATGATGGAACTTACAAAACACTGAGAAATTTTGAATTGCCTTGACAATAGACAAGCATACATAAATAAACAGAGCACACAATCCCTGCCAAACCCTCCACATGTTCCCCCACTACTAACAAGAATCATTTCCATCTTACTGAGATTGACCCTAAAACAACTTGTTCTCATTCATAAACTGGGAAAACGACAGATTACACAGTATAGCTCCAGTGGAAATATACAGTGTTTTGATTTATCAGAATCAGAAGTCTAGAAAATCTGGATACTCTTGGCAAGATGTGTCCCTTTGCTAAACAGTGGACATCATCAATGATAAAAACCCTTCAGCCTAAGGCTTTCTAACTACAGTACTACAGTTGGTCTCCCCTTTTGTTAGGTTTACTTTATAGCAATGGATTTTATTAGAATTTAGAGCAGCTTTTAAGTGAAATTATGCATCTATTATATATTTTGAAGAGTTAGTTTGTCTGTAGATATGTTTGTGCAATCTACAGTTTGTTCAATTTACAATTACTTACAGATACAAAATTTTGCATTAACAATCCTGGCACTTAAATTAGCTGAATGGACTACTTTTCACCCAGCATGTTCTGGTGTAAAAAGTTTAAATCAGTGTTTCTCAAACCGCAAACTGCAGCCAATGGGAGTCATGAAGCTCTGTGGCTGCAGAGCCGGTGAGTAAACAAACTGAAGTGGCATGGTAGCTGCTTTCTCAGAGCGAGTCTAACTGGTTTAAATAATTATTTTTTAATTTTAGCGGAAAAAAATCATGACTATTATGACTGAAGTTCATAAAAATATTTGCTAACAAAATTAAAATTGTGTCACCTTTTCAATTGTCATTTTAGGGCAAAGAAAATGTTTAATGTTACATATCACAAAATAATTCAAATTAGTTATGAAAAAAGTAATGGAAGCTTTATGAGTTTCTGATTCAAATTTACTATGTATTGTAACTATTCAATAAAATTAATAACGTTTGAAGTTTGAAATCCTATAAATTTAAAACTGTTCTTTTACTTTCTAAATGAGCTTTCTAAGGCCACACCCAGCAAAAGCATGCACACAGGCTTAAAATTAAGCACAAAATTAAGCTGGCACTATGAGCATGTTTGAAGTTAAGGAGGTCTATAAATCTTTATGAGATCACAACCTAAAAGAATTATCAATATAATATACCTGCATCTTGTATCTCCTGCTCTATTGCAGCCAACAGTTCCATTGCTGAATCAAGAGAGGTCCTCTACCACTGGCCTTCCAGGACACCGCTGCTCCCCTCCCTTCAGCTGGCTCTTCTCCAGGCCTGCTTTGCTCTGCTTTGTTACAGGGCTTTGCTCTGGCCTGCTTCTGCCAGCTGGCTGGGGCTCTCCAGGGACAGAGCTCCCCAGCCACAATGGCCCTGCTTCTGTCCTGTCTGGCTGCAGCTTCCTGGGGATGGAGCTCACAGCTGCTCCTCTGCTGCTGCTCTCAGCGAGGGCTCTCCAAACCGGGGCTCACCAGTCCCGACGATGGGAGTCCCTGCCACTGGACTCCCATCCGGATTGCACTCCTGGGCACTGGGGCTCTGGTCTAGCAACATCCATGATCCTGCCAGACCATGATTGTTGCTGGACCAGGGAGTTCCAGATGTAGGAGGTTCAACCTGGGTCAGTTTTATGTAGTAAAATAAGATATGCAATCCATCTCATGATACTGTAAAATGTAAACATACCTCCTTCAGAAATTGTTCGAACTGCTCATCAAGTTCTTCTTTTGAAAACCAATGAGCCATTGTCAGCACCTCAATCTTAACTTCCAAAACAGTCCAAGTACTGAAAAATACTACAAAAATGCAGTTAATGAGGTAGTGTCTATGAAAACATTAACAGCCTGCAAAATTATTGCAAACACAATCCAGACTTTGAATTAAATAAGAGATCCTTATGTAAGAACTTGAAAAGAGTTAAAAAAAAAAGTACCAGGACTCTCGGGAGGAGATTTTAACCTCTCATAACACACACAATCCAGTAGAATTTTATATTTTTACACTAAGGTGTCTTGTGAGCTGTGACTATACCAACTGCTTAAACAAATGGAAAATATATACTTGCAAGCTTGCTAAGAATGATTCCTGCTCGTCTTCTTCCACGTTACCATATTTTCCAATGCATTGCACACACACACACACACACTTTTCTTATGTTTACAGCGCATCAGTTTCAGGGATCGGAAGGGCATGTTAAGGGGCGGTACAATGCGGGTCCCTTTAGTCTAAATCTGACCCAACCCTTCGCCTTTCAAAGGGTTCCCAGCCAGCGCGGGGGGTGGATCCGCGCTTCAGCCTTTATACGCCGTCGCACCGGGCCCGAGCGCTCAGCAGAGGGGACTCGCAATCGCCCCATAATTTAAGTCCCGGCGAATCGATAGCTGAGCCGCAACCCGCTCCTGGGGACCGCGCCGTGGGCAGGTGGGGCCGGGGAGCGGCGCCT